CTATCCTAATAGTATATAGTTAAATATTTTTCCTACCTGCATCATGCCTCAGATCTTAAGACTAGATTTTTAAAGTTCTTTCAGGTTTAGTCATTTACTTTTTCACTGTGTGTTGCTTTCTGTACTGTATTTAATGTAGTGATATTAGGCTGGCTAATATTACATTCTGGTTCTCATGGACTGTTTCTGGCTCTCTTGGACAAGGCTCTTGTGCTTGAATTAGTAACCCTTCAAGTGAAGGGTTTTTTTAAAGAAATCAAAAACTGTTTCAGTGTTCCCTTGGTGTGGTTCTGGAACTGGGTTGGTACACAAGATCTGAGTTCAGTTCCATTCTGCCACAAGTTTCTCCTGTGATCTTGCACAAAATGATTTTGGGGAAGATCTACACATGGACCTGGGCACCTAAAGTGAGTCTGCTCAAAGCCAAAATTGCGGTACTTAAAGGCTCTGCTTAATTGCAAGTTAACCCCATAACTGCTTGACTTGGCATCACTTAAAATTTTCTAGCTATTTAGTGTTCTGCTTCTGCACACAGCCACAAGCATCTCAGTCTTAACAGGACTATGCAGCTCAGTGCCTGTTTCACATCTGAACTCCAAACTAACCATTCCCTGCCTATGTCCCATGAGTGGCCCGATGTGGTAGGCATGTCTGAACTACACTTAATGTCACAGGACTGGGAATTACACAGGTTGTAGCCATACCTGCCACTTCCATTCAAATATGTGGCAGAAGTAGTATAAGCATACCCCTAATTTCTCTTTGTCTCAATTTTCTCAAGTGTAAGGAGCACCATACCTAGACTCCTGGCAGCCCTGAGCGAACTTTTACTATCAGGCCCTCCTTTGCCAGAGATAATGATACTAATAATAATAACAATTACCATTTTCGGTCTTCCTTTGTGTCCGGGCCCCAGGCAGCCACCCAGTTTGCCCATGTCTATGTCCAGCCCTGAGTGTAAGATACGAGTAATTATACTTTCTTTCTCCTATTCATTGTCATTTGGTTGGCATAGATTTCATACTTTTTTCAGAGTGAGGTTTGTCTCTTACTTTGTGCTGATCCAGCAACTAGCACAGTGCAGCCCTATTCTCATTTGGGTGCTGATGGTGTGGCTATAACCTATTGCATCCCTCTCTTGTGCTCTTTCCAAAGAAGAAAGCCACAGAGTAGACATCTTTCATTCAAGCTGCACAGACTTTCTAGAAGTCCCTGGTTGATTTCCTGCTGACGGAGCAGATGATAGCTGGCACACGATCAGGAACTTTTCTGGCATTCAAGATTATTAGGTATTATTTGGCTTACTGTAGTGTATAGGATCTCTGATCATAGAATGAGCTGTGATAATGCTGGCTCCTGTATGAACAGAACAAAAAGATGGTCCCTGCCACAGTGAGCTTACGATCAAAGTATAAGAAAGAAACAAGGATGCAAATAGTCTTGTATACAAGAAAAAATAGGATGTATTTGTCAGCATAATAAATATGATAACTGTACCTGCTGCCCCTTGAGATAACTGCCAAGCCTGAGCCTGGATAAAGTGAGCAGAAGACTGACCACCCAGCTGTGTAAGTCCGCAGACATGGAACTGGACTATTGTTCTGATAAAAATGGTTGCTCAGCAGAGAACACTGATGACCCTTTCTGCCATGTGAAGGGTCCTGGTGAAATCTCTCTCTCAGGAGTTCAGAAACCTGGAAAAATTATCTTGGGAGCAAGAGAATACTTCAACAGTAATTATTTGGAGTATGTAAACAATATTTACATTATGATGAAATTCCAGCAAATTGAAATAATAGCTGGAATTCAATTGTTTATGGAATTCCAGCTAAGATCTCCAGACCTCATACAAAGATGACTGGTTCTATACTTCCACAGAGAACTTCAATAACAGGATGGCTTAGCATGGACACTGGTGTGAAATAGAGATATGTTCTTTCTTTGCTACCATTTGGCATAGCCATAGACTGGATAGCATAAGGTACAGGCAAAACAAATGCTAAGATGGCCTGGGTAGATGACAAATGTCTAGAAGACCTAGACCTTGCTGATGACATTGTGCTGCTGGGCCACACACTTGGAAAGCTACAGAGAGACAACCTGGCAAAAGTAACAGACCAAGCAGAGGCTCAAAGTCAACTACATCAAAAACAAACAAACTCCTCCCCAAAACAAAAACAGAAAACCCTTCTTGAAATCTAGGAATCAAGTAGAAATATATCAGAAAGCAGATGCATAACTAATAGCACCACATTATTCAATGGACACCTCAAGAAAGAAGTGACAAGAACAGCATTCTATAAATCGCTAAACTTAACTTATGGAACTGGAAGCTATACAGAACCAGAATAAATCTGGGAATTTTCTGTTCAAATGTAATCTCTGTGCTAATATGTGGCTGTGAGAGTTGGAGATCTACCGTAATATAAGCCAGAAAAATAGATGGCTTTGAAGAGAGGTACTTACAAAAGATTCTCAACATTGAAAAGAAAGGTTTTATCATCAACAAAGTGATCCAACACGCCATCAACCAGCAGTTCATTTTCACCAGAACCAAACTGGTAGGTTTCATTTGGATGCCAAAACACAGACTTACATAGGAAGCCATCCAAATGAAACAACTGTTGTGAAGAAAAGAGGATGTCTAAAAGAAAACTTTAAAAGAATGTTTAGCAGTGAGGGCAGAGCAGCACCATGGAGCAAATGGAAGCGGCAGTAAATGACAACAGGAATAGAGGAGACTAGTTTCTGCCCTGTACACCAAAACTATTACAGGAATGTTGTAATATGCTGGTAGGCAACAGTTTCCCTACACCAGAAGCCTAGCCTTTACCATGTGCTTAGCAAATGTGGTTAAGACAAGACTCCTCTGTCTACCCCACTAGGACCTGTCAAGAGGAAGTACTTGCCATATATAATAAGTGTTTGCTTTGTATTTATCCTAGCAAATGTGAATTTGTTTCAGTCAGTCCCGAGGTCGCATCAACTGTTAGGGCACTTTTGATGTAGCAGTAACTTTCCTTCACTCTTCCTGGTCTTTTGTAATTCTTGTACAAAAAGGTTGTACAAGACTGAGTTTGTTACAGTTCTAGGTTAAATAGCTTGGTTCGTTAGGCTAAGTTATACATATAGATGCCTGGGATTAGAAGAGTCAAGCTGAGTTCATAACCCTGCCACAGCTTTCCCATGTCACCTGGGAAAAATCACTTAATTGCTCTGTTCCCAAGTTGTAAAAGACAGACACCTGCCTCTTTTTCTAGCCGGATTCAAAAAAGGGATTGGACAAATTCTTGGAGGAAAGGGGCATCAGTAGCTATTGAGAATGGGAGCTAGGGGCATAGATTTTAAATGCTGGAGGCTGCTAGTGAGACAGTAACAGTGGGGAAAAAACCCTGGTCATACCCAGTTTACTCTTCCTTTCAGCATCTGCTCTCTGCCACTGTATAGGTTACTGGGCATATGTCAACTGGTTTTGGGGGGAAAACTAAAGAGAAAACTGAGATGGGAGTGAGGTCATAGGTTCATAAATGGTGGGTCTACACAAGACATTTATTATGCTGTAGACTAATTAGCTGTGCAGCAAACACCTCAGCATCTACACATGCCCGCCCAATTAGGCTGCAGTAAACTAATTTACTCAGTAGCAGAATAGTACTTGTAAATATTTACAAGTACTATCCTGTTGTGGAATAAAAAACTCTGCAGCAGTGAATGTGTAGATGCTGCCTCAGCTAGCTGGGGCATAAGGATGCTTCAGTTAAGGGGGCTGCCTGCCAGCTAGATCTGTGCTGAGGCACCCTTGTGCTCCAGCCAGCCCCTCTGCAGCACACTGACCCTCTCAGCCAGGGTCCCTGCTATCTGGGGCTGCTCCAACCTGGATCAATGTGCTACAGTCCTGGGCACATGTGCAAATGGTGTGCCTGGAACAATAAACTCAGGTGCAATAAGTACTGGAGTTTATTGCAGCGTGTTAATATGCACGTATAGATGTGCCCAAAGAGTGCACCAAGGCGGAACACAGAGCAGAGCACACCGAGCAGTGCCCACTGGCCCTTGAGCAAGTAGAAGGAGCCGGTAGACACTGCCCAGCAATACTAGGCTGGGAGATGGGATCAGACCAGGGACAGGAAAGTGGCCCTGCGTCCCCAGAGGTCCTTTTGGCCAGACCTTCTTCTTCCCTGGTCAGATACATTGCGAGCTTGGCTAGGGCCAGGAGGAGGTTGACCAGGAGGTCCCATAGGCCCAGCCTACCACTTCTCTCATTGGCCTCCCTTAGGCAGGTAGGCTACAAGAAAAGGGGACAACAGATTTCTTGGGACAAATAATGAAAAAACAGGGAGGGGAGTGCAGGTCAGAAGTTCAAAACAACTGTGCTGAGTGGGGACACCGAGCAGAGCACACCAGACAGCGCCCACTGGCCCTCAGATGAGTCCAAGGAGCAAGCGGACACTGGCCAGTGATACTCTGCTTGGAGACGGAAACAAAGCAAGGTAAGGAAAGCCGCTCCAGAGTCCCTGGGGACTGTCCTGGCCAGAGCCTCCTTCATGGTCAGGTACATGGCTGGCTTGGCCAGGGCCAGGAGGAGGCTGACCACAGCTCCTGCAGGAGACTGGGTGAGATGAACCTAGGGGCTGAACCAGTCGATGGGAAATCTTCTGTTCTTTGGCTGGTTTGGGACTCACAGGAGAACCACCTCTCTAGAAGAGGAGCTGTGCAGCTAGACTGCACTTGTTGGACTTCACTAGATGTTTTGGACGTGCATGAGAGAGAACGAGTGTGAGAACGTGCAAGTGCGAGTGCGTGAGAACGTGTAAAAGAACATATGAGAGTAAGAGAAAATGTGTGTGTGAACTCGTGCGCGAGAGAGGCGGTGCGAGTGTGAGGGGGGCAGAGTGCGCACGGACCCCTGTCCCTGAGCCCTGCCCGGGGCAGAGCGAGGGCGAGCGCGGATTGCGGGGCAAAGCCGGGGCGGGCCGCGCGGGGAAGCAGCATTGCCTTTTTCGGGCCTTTCCCGCCGCTCGGGGCGGAGGCCGCTTCCTAGCACCGCCCCCGCCTGCCGTCCCGCCCCGCCTGCGGTGCAGGGGCTCGGGCACAGCAATGTCGGGCGCGGAAGCGACGGGGCGGCGGGAGCAGGCGGAGGCGGAGGCGGAGGGAGAGGGGGTCGGGGAGGAGACGGTGCGGATCCGGCTGGGCGAGCGGAGCTACGTGGTGTGCAAGAGGAAGCTGGTGGAGCAGAGCGACTACTTCCGCGCGCTGTACCGCTCGGGCATGCGGGAGGCGGCGCCGGGCCGGGCGGAGCAGCAGCTGTGCGGCGGGCTGAGCGCGCGGGGGCTGGAGCTGGTGCTGGACTTCATCAGCACGGCCTGCCTGGCGCGGCTGGAGCAGGAGCAGGAGCAGGAGCGGGAGGGAGAGGGGGGCGGCGGCGGGGAGCCCGGCCCGGTGCTGCAGGAGCTGGTGGAGGCCGCCTGCTACCTGCAGGTGACCCCCTTGCTGCGCCTGCTGCGCTCCCAGGTGCGCCTCGGCAACTGCCTGCAGCTGCACGGCTTGGCCCAGCTCTACGGCCTGCAGGACCTGCAGGAGGCCTGCCTGGACTTCATGGCCGCCCACTACCACCCTGTGCTGTGGCAGGCCCGCCAGATGCTGCCCCCTGCCCTGCGCCAGCAGCTGGCCCAGAGGCGCATGGGGGGCTCCGCCACCCTGGTGGCTGTGGGGAACTTGGCGGGGCGGCCCCCGCAGGAGGAAGCACCGGGCTCCATGCTGCGGTACGATGAGGTGGCTCAGCGGTGGCTGCCCCTGGCCAACAAGCTGCCTCCGGACCTGGTGAACGTGCGCGGTTATGGGGCGGCGACGCTGGACAACTACCTGTTCATTGTCGGGGGCTACCGTGTCACCAGCCAGGACATCTCGGCCGCCCACTGTTACAACCCATGCTTGAATGAGTGGAGTCAGAGGGCATCCATGAACCAGAAGAGGTAACACCCCTCTCTCATTCCCTGTAAACAGATGTACAAGCGGTACGTTAGCGGCGGTATTGCCACCTCTCATGACTTTGGGCGTTGTTCTTCAAGTCTAGGCCTCGGAAATGTGAAACGTCTAGCGCTTTCTTTTACATATATTTTAAAGAGCTAGGCTTTTCACATTCCCTAATTGTGGGTGAACTATCCAACACTTGGTGAAGTCTGCTTCACAATGATAAGAAGCATAGACTTTAAGAACAACGCCAAAAATCATGAGAATTGGCAACACTGGTAGTAAAAATGCCTTGGAGCCATGGACCCAGAAATAGAAAGACCAGCTTGCCATTACTTTGTGCGTAGTCATTCACATCTCATCTTTTGTGCTGGGGTGAGTGGTGCTGTATGGGGTGCTGAGCAATGAGGAATTTACCTGATAGTAGCAGTGCTCAACCTTTTGATCCATGGGCCAGATGAGAATATGGGGCCCATCTATGGTTCAGATGGGACCCTGCCCACTGGGAATGGGGCCTGAACTGTCTCTACCCAGTCCCATACATGAGGATTGAATTCCAGGGGCCACCACATGATGGAGCTGGGCCCAGTGCTGACCTGCATGCTTAGCCTAGCATTCGTGGCCACAGCACGCAGGTCTCCCCACAGATTCTTGGGAAGCCACGTAGACCAGATGACATGGCATCGGGGGCGGTGCATCCCTGGCCAATAGAATCCAGTAGGCTGTATGGGACCGAGCTTTTAAACGTGATTTTTTTTTCTTAAATAGAACTTTGAGGTAGGACAGTGAAGGCAACCCTGGTAACCCTCTGTTCCTGTACTCAGGTTTCCATCTGCACATGGAGAAATCCAGCTGGTGTCAATGGGAGACCATTTGGCGCACAGCAGGCTAGAATTTTGGACAGAACGGTTTTCCACTGGAAATTGCATTTTCCTTAACATTGAAATTAGGTTCCCCAACTAACTTGGTTTTCATGACAGTTTTCCCTGGACAAGCTGCTGCCGTGTTTCCTCATCTTATTTTGTTGACTAAAAATTTTGGGGACAAAATGCTTTGGTTTCAGCCTTCATTTTGATTAATTTGTTTATTGGCTAGCGCATTTCATATGTTGTCATGTCTCATTATCACAATGAAATATTGGCATTATCTTATTGAAACAAAGCATTTTGATGTTTCACAGCCAACACTTTCAGACTTTCCAGTCTGTAGAAAATTTCAATATTGCAGTCTGATTTGGACCAAAAACTAAAGTGAAATGTGAGAATTTCCCATGGAACCGAAATATCATTTTCTAACCAGTTCTAGTCCAAGTTAAATCACGTCTAGTCCGATTATTATGTGCATTGTACATGTAACTGCAGGCTCCAGTCAGATATTGTGCTAGGTTCTGTACACACATGCACTTCAGTTTCTGATCTAGGGAGTTTGCAGTCAGATTTCTCTGAGAAGATTGTCTATCCCAAACTTGGTTCCTTCCAAACTTACTTCTTGTTCTTGTTTATGTTGTTATACAAATGTACTGAAGTAGGGCAGACCATAATTTCATTCTAGTTGTCACTAGAATTAGCCAATAGAATTCAGTATTTTTCAGTTAAGGGAAAGTTCTTTCTTTTTCTTTTAATTCACCTGGTTGAAATTAATATATTTAGTTAAAATTCCTCTCAATAAGACTATGATCATGTACCAGGCGGAGGAAGAACCAGTGCCTGACATCACTCTGGCAGATAAATCTCTGAGCGTCTTTGACAGCTTTTGTTACTTGGGTTCTACAATCATCAGGAATCTTGACCTTCAGACTAAACAAACAGAATTGGAAAAGCAGCTGAGAATTTCACGCTATTACAGAAACGTGCATGGAATAATATCAGACTATCAGATAAGATGAAGATGCAAATCTGTTAAACTTGCATGCTGTCATCCCTGCTTTATGGTTTGGAAACATGGACTACATATGCTAGGTACATCAGGAGCCTGAACAGCTGTGGAAGATCCTGAAAATCATGTGGGAAGACAAAATGGCAAACACAGGTGATGGACCACGCAGGACTGACACACTTAGAAAACACTGTCCAGAACAGGAGGTTGTGATGGCTCTGCCATGTCATGAGAATGGGAGGAGACCATATTCCCAAGAACATTTTGTACAGTGAGATTTGAGATGGCTCTAGGAAGCAGGGTTGCTCTGTATGGCTGTACTATGACCTGTGCAAATATTATACAAAGTCATTCAACATCAATGTAGAAAGCTGGGAAGAGTGCACAGAATCCCATCCAGTCTGTAGGGAACATCTGGCACTGAGTGCAGCTTAGCATGAAGCAGATTTGATCCAGAGGATGAAAACAATGCAAGAAAGAAAGAAGCTGTAAATTTGGACTCCAGGCTGGACAACACATGGATCTGTAAAACTTGTAACAATCTGCGTCACTCTCAAATTGGGCTTGTCAGCCACAAACGGACTAATCAGGCACCTGACTAGACTTCTTATATCTACACCATGATCCAGAGGATCGACGGTTACCAATATATACATTTTGAAGAGTTTTAAAACAGGTTTCGGGGGAAGAACCCCCATCTGGACTCCAGTCTAATAGTCCAGCATGTAAACAGTCCTCAGTGAGAAATGCTTGAGAACTTGGATTATTTTAGTAGGCACACAATTTGCTTTCGTTAGTCATGGGATTTTTTAAAATTCTTAGTTCAATAAGGAATAGATCTAATTAAACATGAATTCTAAACACTTTTTTTCATCACATTTCAGGAAATAATCCCCCAGTGAATTCTGATCTTTGCCATGTAAATAGGATTGAGTAGGCTTTAATCTTGCATTTCCATCCATGGGAGCAGACGCCTGCATATATAGGCAAATTACTGACTTCACTGGAACCTGTCCATGCTCCATCAACACATGAAGAGATTCATCACTCAGCAAAACTGCAGGTTTGATGCCTTCAGTTGTAAGATATGCACAGCAGGAAAGATGCCCTTTCACAGGTTGCTTCTGCAGCACAGGAAGCATGGCTTTTTCATCTGGGCTTCCCCATCCCTGGCCAGCCATCTTCTCCACCCCAGTACTCTCTTCTTTTTTTTGATGTATGATCAGTGTATTAGAAATGTATTAAAGTATTTATTATCCATTATTTTTAAATATATATACACACCTGTGGTACTGTAGAAATTCATTGTAAGCAACTTGATAGTTGGGTTCTCCCCTGAGAAATACCCTTTTGGTAGCAGTGAAAAATTTCACAATTGACAAGAGTAATTCCTACAGTAGTCTCTTATCTTTACTTCTTTTAAGCTAGAAACAGCTACATTGAAGTGTGACTGGCTCTAGAGTGGAGGATGGCAGTAAATGAATGTGTACTACTGAGACCAACAGGCAAAGGGAGTTTCTGCAAAGGGAACTCTGCCAAACCCCTGTTCTATAGAAACATACCCAGGGCTTTTTAATTCTAGCATTGTGTAGATAGCTTTTTTTTTTTTTTTAAGTTCCTTGTAAGATAAATTGCAGCATCCACCATTGCCTTATCCCTTTTTCACATTTTGGGATCAGAATTTGATAAGCTCTGCATGGTGCTTTCAAATGGAATCTCAGATGGGCAGAAACTGCCTTATGGAAGCAATGCTTCAACCTTGTCCTGAGGTGTTGCAATTAGAATGGTAGTCTCCTGTATTTACTTTGTGAAGCTCTAGTCAGATAAAGAGGATAAGTCATCCCAACACGTTGCCTGGAACGCACAGTCGTATATTTCACTGATGTACGGAATGAATCGGTAGCAATTGATCCGTCTTGCATATCTTGAAGGAAAGGCAGTAGTCCTCATTGAAGTTGAGGGTTGATTCCAGTTAACTTTTCAATGGGATCTGGAGTTTGCTCCATGTGAAACGATATACATCATGACCAAAAGAGAAAGTTGAAGAAGTAAGATAATTGACTATGCTGAGTAAGAAAAACATTTCCCTGCACTTAAAATATCTTCTGGAATTTATGATAAATCCAATAGATAATAATTGATCCTTCTTGCATTACCACTCTACCTAGAAGTCCCTGTCCAGGTACCAGAACTCCATTGTGCTTGGTACTGTGCAGACATAGAAGAAAAAGGCAGCCCTTTCCCCAAGCATGTTATGGTTTAAGTTTAAACAAGAGACAGCAGAGGGGTATTGAATATTTGCTAGGGGTTTTTTTAGCTGGGGGATTGAAAAACAGGGCAGAGTAAATCACCTCCTCAAGGACATACAGGAAACCTGTGGAATTTAACTCCTATTTTTTGACTGCCAGCCCAATGCTCATCATAAAGGTAGGAAGTATGGTCTAATCCAGACGTGCTCAACCCCTGGCCTGGGGGCCCAGTCTAGCCCTGGCACCTATGCATCTGGTTTGCTGGACATCTCACAGGTTCATAGGGAGTCCTGCAGGCTGTGGTCCTTGCATTAGATTAGGTTTACAGGGCAGGCTTGAATACAATCCTGGCATGCAGGGCTGAGGGATGACTCCTAGGGGCCAATCCCAACATGTGGGACTGGGCAGAGGTGGTGTGGGACCCCCTGCGGCACAATCCTGGTATGCATGACCTGGTGGAGGTGGCACAGGGTATGATTTGGCCTGCGGATCAGCCCCATGGCCCTCATCCGGCCCACAGGGCCAAAAGGCTGAGCATCGCTGGTCTAATCTCATCGTTCAGGAAGAACTCTTTGTACATGAATATAATTTTCATAAAAATAACCCAAATGCTTTAAAGAAATAATTTGGTGTGGAAAGACATTCATTTGATCTTGAGATAGTGCAATAAAGTCCACTCTTAAAGGGAGGAAGGCAAAAACGACGTTTGGGGATTGTGCAGAGCTAAGCAGGGGGTCTGGGCACAGGACACCTTTACACTAGCATGACCAAAGAGTGGCCCTAACATATGACTGTATACTGGTTTAATTTACTAGAGTCTAATGTAAATTCCCAATGGAAAAAAAATTGGAAGTAAATGTGCAGGTGTAGGTCTGCTTCTGCTTGGGGTAGCCATTTGTTCAATGCAAACAGGCTATTGCTAGCTCTGCTGCCACCTCATAGCAAGCTGCTGTGATGGTGCCTACTGCAGCAGCTACCTGGAAAGAGCTGGTCCTACCAAGCTGGTATTGAGGTATAACTGTATTAACACATTGTGTGCAGGCCCAGGATCCCTTTTGCTGATTATTTTAGTTAACTTTGTACTGTCAAATGAAATTTGCTATTTTAAAATCTTTTGCCTCATGAGCCAGAACTTTCCATTTTTATTTTGTTTCCAAGTGTTTGGTGTTCTGGGTCTTTCTTCCAGGATATAAACATCCCCGGCCTGGCAGGCCCTTGTAAATACAGCCAGGGAATATGCACATGCACAAAACTAGTCTTGTATAAGCAATCTAGGCATGAGTAGGACCTGTTCGTAGGAAAAGAGCAGTGAATCTAGGGCAACTTCGGAGAGACCTTCTCTTTTCCACTTTTATTCCTGCTCTCAAGATCTTGTGTGTCAAGGGGGAAGCTGATAATGGCAGCTTCCATTTGCAGAGCTTTTAAGCCAGACTTTCTCTCTCTCTCCCTTGGCCCAAATGAGGAATGCAGTTAGACATGACGCTATTGAAGGGCATAAACAAGACCCTCATGTGAGAAACTTAAAATGCTGTGGGCTTTATGCTTGTGATTTAATCAACTGAAGCAAATTTGTTTAACTGGAAAGGTAAGAGGGCAGGTAATGAACTTTTGCATTAAATTGGATCATGGGCTGGGAAGGAATTTCAGAGGTCTAGATATCCTTGAGGCATCCACCTGCCCTCTCTGAGGTGATCTCAAGTTTACATAGACTACCATAGACCAGGGGTTGTCAACTGGGGGTACTCATACTCTAGAGGGTACTTGGGAAGGCCCTAAGGGGTATGCATGGGCAGGCAGGGATAAAGTGCTGCCACCCACCACCCTATGCCATTGTCTCCCAGGAGCAGGACCGGGGCAGGGCGAGGGCAGCAGTGCCCCCCTGCAGGCCACACAGGCGTTGCCCAGCTGATCAGACACGGGGTGGGGGGAGCTTCCACATGGCCACTGCTGCTGCCATCCACCACCCTGCGCCACCGCTGTGCGCCTGGCTGCCTGCCCCCCCACGCTCTGTATCTGCCGCCCACTCCCTCCTCCCCACCACTCTGTGTCAGGCCGTGTGTCACCCCCAACTCTGTGTCTGGCTGTCAGGGCTACATTTATTAGAAAAGGTTGAAAACCGCTGCCATAGACAGTTGGTTGTATAACCTGTTCTTAATCTCCAAAGATGAGGATTACTCAGTGCCCTTTGGTCCCCTTTTCAGTGCTTAACAGTCCTTATAGTGCATTTTATAACCCACAGTTCTTGTGTCGAATATTTGCCCACTTACTGTCCTGTTCACAGTGGACGTAGAGAAAAATTGATCACCATTTTCTTTAGGGCAGCCTTTTATATCCGTGAAGACTGTAGCCATGTTTCTTTCCTGTCTTGTTTATAAGCTAAACCCATTTTTTCAACTTTTTATTGTACTTATTTCCCTTCTTCTCAGCTCCTGACATGCAGTAAAACAGGGTAAAAAGATATTAAATATTTCCTAAAATTAGTTTTTCATATTAATAATTGATGTAATTAGCATATAATGGCTTGCAATTAGCATAAAGTACCAAGGGGCAGAAATAAGTTGTTTAAATTAATGTATTACATTTTGAGTCAACCGTTCAGAAAAGTTGTTTGGTGGCTGCCAATTTTGGCTACCTCTGATTAAAACAAATGTTTAGTTAACACTGATGTTCAATTCCGTGTATATGTGGTGTGTCTTCTGAGCAACATGCTAACCAATGCCAAAAGCAGCTATACTGTTCAAACAGTTTACATGAATCCTAGATTATTTTTTTTAGATTAGTAGTAGTTGAAAGTTGGACCATGTATCAGTCATAGGTTAACTGTCCATGTATGTGCAACAAGGTTTTCAGTGACCCATCAGGCATTTGTGACCTCCATACAGGAAAAGCTGCAGGAGGCTATATTCTTTGATGATTAGTGTGGTTAGGGTTAAGTTAGGAGATGTGGCATTTATTCTCATTCTAACGCTCTGTCATCTTGAACAATTAATATTTTTCTCTGTGTCTTAGCATTTTCCGTCTTTTAAATGAGGCTTGAAACCCACCTTTCCAAAATACTTCTTGGCCTTTGCATGAAAGTACAAGTGAATTCATTTTAAAGGATGAAAGCTGTGCTCTGGCTCCTCTATAACATACAGACTTACTAACATTTTATCAATTTTAAGTGTTGAACGTAAATTTTTAATGTGTAATTTACATTCGAGACCACTGTCTCTTAGTAATTTCATTAGTTCATATGCATGCATTTTTTCTCTCTTATAACTTTTAAAACAGGTATGTTTCTTTGAAAATCACAATATTTTTGTGAGTAAATTCTCTCATTTCATATTCACTGTTGATCGGATCTTTAGTCCAGATTCTTCAAGCTGGAAAACATAATTACTATAAAGTGAAGATGCACAGAGTGACCTAATCATAAATGTCAGCAAAAAACAAATTAAAGCCATTTAATTCAGTCAGAGACTTATTGTAGTTTCCAAAGCTCTTCAGGATGATGGGAACAAAATGCTTCCATCTGGAACGGAGAGGTTTTTTCCCCAAATACATTTAATACAAAACATTTCAGGACAGTCTCCTGCTAAGCAAGTTTCATTCTGTTCAGATACATTCCTGCAAAACTACTTAGGCACAATTTCACTGACTTTGGACCTCATGCTCACACTGATGAAATTCATCTCTCTGCAAAGGACCAACACATGGATAATCCACCAGTTGTGTCTTTCAGGCTTGAATGGAGCATTTCATTGGCTTTGTGCTGATCGCAGCAAAGAAGGTTACATTTTCTCCTGTCAGTCATTAGGAGTGTTAACTAAGTAAAATTGGTGGATTTGAATCAAAATGGGTAGTTCTCAATAAGCAGTCTCATTATGAATAGATGCCATTCTGGACCCTCCTTATCGCTTTGCCCCTTTTTCTCACTTTTTAAAGCATCTTCCTATCTCCCGTTTTCCCCCTGGTGCATGGAGAGTTACTTTTGTGCTCTCTTGAAGGCACAAAGCTGCAAAATGACACTGAAATCTTTCATATGTTTTACTTGTGCAGCTTGCTGAATGCACAGAGCACAGTGAGGTAGAGTGGGACAGAAAAATAATGTTGATGCTCTTTGCATCCAGACAATTACATTGATCTGCTGAGTTCAGCATCCTAAACATACATCTAGCCTTGACTGGATGGGGATGGCTATGGTGATAAAAGTTAAGGGAGAAAAATAGACAGGAGATACTAAATCTCTGTGTCTTGTGTTGAAATAAATCTTTTATTAACTAGAGTAGCTAAAGAGGCATGATATTAGAGACTATGGCCAGTACACATGTTAATCTGCTCTTTCATGAAACTAGGAGTTATGACTGAAATAAACCTAGTAGTGACAGTATGCATGTGCATTTCTGTGCATTTTCCCAGCCACTATCAAGGTCCTTTACAACAGAGTAGACAAATATAAAGTACTGAAGTACTAGATTGTTATTGGATGCAGTGACTGAGTAGTTAAGTTTGAACTGTAATGAATTGAAATCCTAAGTATATATCATATGTAACATTCACCATAATTTATTTCCTGAATGTAATTAGTATGCTGAGCCCTGTACAAACATGAAGCACACAGTCCCTGGCCCAAGCAGCTTACAATGTACTTTGGATATGGACAAAATAGTTCAGAGAGTATAATATATGAGGTGATGGAACAGGCTTGAAGCGGTGATGGTCTGATGGAGCCTTGATGGAAATAATTTTCATTCCTTTAGTATTGGTGCTCTGATCTGTCTCTTTTAGGTCCAATTTTAAGCTTTTGGCTGTAAATGGGAAGCTCTATGCTGTTGGTGGTCAATCGCTTTCCAACGTGGAATGTTACAACCCAGAGTATGACTGGTGGAATTTCGTGGCCTCTATGCCAAACCCTCTGGCAGAATTCTCAGCTTGTGAGTGCAAAGGCAAGATCTACATCATTGGAGGCTACACTTCACGAGGTAGGACATATTGTTTTTAAAACCACAGTCAGTTTCCTCATTAATAAATAGGGACCTATGGAATTGCAATTCCGTGATTTTTGTGGAAACTGCAATTTCAGGCAGTCCCCATGATAAAGCACAGGGGTCCATGCTTTTAGTAGGCTCCCTGAAAAAAAACAAACCACTCACTGAAAATAAAATGCTGGCTCCCTCTGGGGAGCAAACAGTCCTTACGGCTGCTGTAGCTGAGCCACAGCCTGCCAGGGGGAAAGGAGGGAGAGGGGCTGCCAGCATAACAAGATTCCTGCTGCCCCTGCCCCTCACTGCTGATTGGCTGTGAGGGGTGTCTGTCATATGGCCCCGCCTTCTGCAGCGAATCAGCCTAAGAGTGGGGCCACATGACAGGCAGCCCTTATGACAATCAGCAGCCAGGGGCGGAGCTATGTGATGGACAGCTTTCATAGCCAATCTGCAGTGAAGGGCACAGCCACTGGGCCCCCTTGGCCAGTTGTGGGGGTCACTATGCTCTGCCCTTGAAAATGGCAGCCTGGCTTGTAGTCTGCCTGTGAAATCAACAGGTGGTCCCCTCAACTTAAACCCCTACTAATAAAGTTTCATTCTTCCTCCAGGTGAAGTGGAAAGCTTTGTAAGAAAAAATTAAAAATATCTGAAGGCAAATCACTTGGGTAGCAAAAAATTGACAGGCAGAATTTAAAATCAGTTTTCTGACTTTTAAAGATTAGTCACTTTTAAAGAGTCCAGCTTTGGGTATCGCAATTATGCCGTCAAACTGTACTTTTTAAAATAAAATATTCCCATATCGCCACACTGACACTTGAATTTAGGGTTTGTTTGTTTTTCTGTAATCACTGATGTCCCCATATCTTTAATTACAACAAAGAGTATAATCCACTAATTCTCCTTTTTAGATGCTGACAATTGCAGGAGAAACACAGGTCTCAGATAAAAACATTGGTTTTCTTTTTTTAATGTATTCTCTTGGTGGTTTAAGATTGCAAATAGTTACTGATTTATAATTTAAGTACATTCTGATTCATCTTTTAACTGTAACGAGCCACCATTTCCCCTGTTCTTTCAAGGAACTAAAAACAATTTTCTTTTCGTGTGATACAGTTAACTAAAAACTCAGTTTTTGCCCTCCCTGCCCCAACTGCCCAGCGTTGGATTGCCATCCTGTGTCTTGTAATGTCATATGTAGTGCTGCTGATGTCAGCATTTAGGATTTATGGGTGAGGGACAGATACATTTACTACCTATTCTATTGGAGGTGTGCTGGAAAATATGAACATTCAGCATTTCTCATTGTCTGCATAAGAGTTTTCAGTAGTGCCTTTCGCTGTAGTGTTCCAGTACTTCACAAGTAAATTAAATCTATTTGGAAAGGCCTCTAATGGATTTAATGGTGGTTTTTTTCACTCTTTCTCCTGTTCCCTGCAAACAAAGAGGTTGCTTATCTCAGAGGAATGTGGGTGGGTATTTTTATCACATGACAATAGGGTAGATTTGCATCTTACAGAGTAACGAAATCAGAGATGTATAATAAGCTTTTGTGAGCCCAAGCTCACAGGTGCTGTGA